GGACCTACGCTATATAATCCAACGAAAAGCTACGACGAAGCACTTCAGCGTATTCAACGCCTTTAATCTACCAATCGCTACGCAATACACCAATCATACAAGAGCCAAAATCACCTTAACGGCCCTTAAACCCTTTTTTCAAAAGCTATACCCAGTTTTTTAAAAAGCTTAAGCTTAATAGCAACAACAACAAAGGTCTTGAGATCATCATCGGACCAGACAACACTCGAAGCTACGGAAGCTATACGCTAAAAGAAAACTCGCTAAAACCTAAGAACATTCCGGATAAAATCAGCTCTTATTAAAAACAGCGTGCAGATCTCCGTGCTTAACCTTAGCAACCCGAGAAAAGGATCCAATACTCTCGGACGTATCGATAAGCTCTTTAAATCTCTTAACAAAACACGTATCGATAAGAAAGATATTAAAAGTATAAGAATCGTTAAGAGCGTGCTTAAAAGTACGGATATCATTAAGCTAAAGCTTTAGCCGGTGACCCGAATAGCTTTAACGGTCTTAACGATAACCGACGAAAAAAAAACGAAAGAGATTAGCAAAGTAATCGAAGCTACGGGTACGAAAAAAGTAAAAACGGCCTTTCTAGACTACTAAAAGGATTCGAAAACGGACCTTTAAAAGACTTCGGATTCGGAAATGAGCTTTTTAAAAACCTTAGAAAAAGACGGACTACCGGCAATTATATCAGTAACCTTTTACCGATTAGACTATTAATTAAGCAAAGCACGCTTGCGTACGGCACTTTAAGCGCTTTTAACGATGATAATAACGATTTCTTTAAGTTAAGAGCAGCAAACCTTTACTTAAAAGCAAAAGAGTTAGCTTTGTTTGCAAAAAGCTTTTTTAAAAAGCTAAAGTATTCGAGACTCGACGATAACTTCAAGACTTAATTAAGTATTTTCGCTAACTAAGCAAATCGATACGGACTAACATCCGACGACTATTTAATAGCGTTCCCGATTATGCTTACAAGAAAAGCTATTACCTTTTACTATAATCACGTTATCAAAGCTAAGCTTTCGATATTTATAACTAATGCTATTGCGGTAAAGGACCACTTCGAAACTAATTATCGGCGGCAAGCAAAATACGACCGCTAAAAAGAAATTTCGCTAGATTTAATTAAAAAAGAAAATCTAAAGACCTCGCTTAACGAGTGCTTTAAAAAGCTCGCTAAAAAGCTTAAAGGCATTCAAAGCTTATTACGACCAGGTCTAAAAGACGATAAAAGTCTTGCCGACAAGCTGTATTTAACTTGTAAAAATGTGCTAAAGACGATTATTGCGCGGATAAACCTTGCTTTTACTTCTACCGCCGCAGTTGCCGATATTCGCAAAGCTATTGCATTTGCAACTAAGACCTCTCGACCTCTCGCTAAAACGAGTAAAGCTTACGCGAGCTCTAGCGAGCCACACGATTACACTTGCTCTTACAACACCTTAAAAGCTGACTCCGATTTAGACGAAGAATACGAATGCTTTATTCAGGACCGCTAATACTTCGAAAGTAAAAAAGCTGCTAAAGCTATTAAAAGTGAAAAAAAGTGTTTTGTTTGCGAGAAGCTAAGTTGCTAAAGCACTAACTACACTTTCGACGAGCGCAAAGCTTCCGTAGCCAAGTTCTAAAGCTTTAAAGACGCAAAAAAAGTAACGAAAAGCAAATTCTCTTAATACGTAGCGTCGATCGAAAGCTTACTACTTGTATCTACGAAAGAATTCGATCAGTTCATCGCAAGCTTATTAAACGAGCCGCTCGAATCGAGCAGCTATGCTAACATATCGGAAGGTTTTATAACTACTTATAGCACTTTTAACGCTAACGAGATATACAAACAACTAAAGATTTAAATAACATTCTACGCTTTTACTAGCTAAATCGAGACTTAAAACGTGCTCGCGAGCAAAGCAAAGACTTACATAGCTTTTAAGTATTCGAAGAACGTGTTCATAAGCTTTATAATTAATAGCGGAGCAGCTAATTTCTTTACCGCTAGCTTGCCTTAGTTACGAGCACTTTAAAAGAAGTACTTCGAGGTTTAATTAAATACATCTCGAGCAAAAAAGAAGTCCGTCAAGTACGAGATCGGCTTTGCTACTTTTATTAAAGCAATTAC